GCCTTCCTTCCTTTCCCTTTCTCCTTCCTTTTTTCTCTGTCTTCCTTCCTTTCCCTTTCTCCTTCCTTCCTTTTTTCCTCCCTCCCTCTTCTTTCTTTTTCTCTTCCTTGCTTTCTTTCCCTTTCTCCTTTGTCTTCCTTTCCCTTTCTATTTCTCCTTGCTTTCTCTTTCTCTTCTTCTTTGCTTTCTTTCCCTTTCCTTCTTTGCTTTCTTTTATCCCTGCCTTCTTTCCTTCCTCACTCACTCAATTTTTAATTTGCTGATCTCAGTACTTGTTAAAAGGTTCTGAGAGGTGTGACAAATAAAAACCAAGTGTCCAACAATTTTTTCCTATAAGAGCGAGCCTTTGTTTTGACTGGAAAATATAGCGAGTCACAAGGCAACCAAGAAGTTTGAGCTTGTGCATTGAATACCAAACAAATGACAAGTACGGGACACAATTTTCATGTCAAATACTTAGATTTGACATGTTTCAAAGTAAATGAAATGCCAAGCTACAGATTAGGCAAAATCTGACTCAAAAACCCTAACTGTGAGAGGGACCTTGGAGTCCTAGTGGACAGAGCATTTAAACATGAGCCAACACCGTGGCATCAGCCCCCAAAGCCAATACAACAACCCTTGTTTGTATAAACAGAGATAGAATCAAAATCCCTTGAAGTCTTAGTACCGCTTTATAAAGCCCGAGTAAGGCCACACCTGGTATTCTGCATCGAATTTTGGTCGCCACGTTACAAAAACGATGTTGAGGCTTTGGAAAAAGTGCAAAGAAGAGCAACTAAGACGATGAAAAGCCTGGAGACTACACAAACAGTTGCAGGATTTGGGTGTGACTAGTCTAGAGTAAAGAAGAACTAGGGGTGACATGAAAGCAATATTCCAATATTTGACGGGCTGCCACAAATAAGAGGGGTCAACTTGTTCTCCAAAGCCCCTGAAGAGGCAGGACAAGAAGCAACGGATGGAAACTCATCAAGGAGAGAAGCAACCTGAAATTAAAGGAGAAACTTCCTAACAATGAGGACAATTAACCAGTGGAACCACTTGCCACCAGAAGTTGTGGATGCTCCAACACCGGAGGTTTTTAAGAAGAGTCTGGACAGCCCCCTGTCTGAAATGGTCTAGGGTGTCCTGCTTGAGCAAGGGGGTTGGACTAGAAGACCTCCAAGATCTGATTGAAAGTACGACCGTACTGCAAGTTAGCATCTTGGCTTGGAGTCAGTGCTGCCGGAGTCAGGAAACTGATCTGGGGGCAGATTCCTTCTGGAACAGAATCAACCAGGTTTGGGATACTCACCCACCCACCCTTCCCAGCCCTCAGACATGCTCCCCAGCTGGAATAACAAGAGAAGGAAGACGCTTGGCGCTGGCTAGCACATGGGCTCGGGGGCCTTTATGAAGTGTGGAAATGACACGTTCACACATGGAGGGAGAGGGGAGCTTTGCTTTAATCTCCTAACAAGCCGCCCGATCCAAAAACGTCTTTCCCGGATTTCTTTCTCCTGAACCCACGTTCCTCAAACCGTAGCAACTCTTTTGAGATGTGTGGACTTCAACTCCCAGAATTCCTCGGGCGAAGGCTGGATTTCAAGAGCACGGCCATTTTTTAAGAAAGAAGACTTGAGAATAACTTTTATGGTCTCTTTGAACGTACACTAAAACGGCAGGCATTAAAATAGGATTTCCTGCCTTTCCAGCTCCATTCTGATGGATTGGTTGATTGAAATTTCATTGCATTAGCTCTCAAAAGGGTGTGTGTGTGCGCCAGATGCTGAAGAACCCAGGCTGCCCGGGCCCTAAGGCAGTCTTTCTCAACCTTGGTCACTTTAAGATGTGTAGACTTCAACTCCCAGAATCCCCCCCCCCAGCCAGCCAGCACACTGCAGCTGCCAAAAAAAAAAGCCAACGCAAATCTACATCAACGGAGGAATGATATCAAGATCACACAAGGGTTTAATATCGCTTTATAAGGCTTTGATAAGGCCACACTTGGAATGCTGCTTCCCGTTTTGGTTGCCACGGTGTAAAAAAAGATGTTGAGACCCTGGAAAGAGGGCAGAGAAGAGCAACAAAGAGGATTAGCGGACCGGAGGCTAAAACATACGAAGAACGGTTGCTGGAAATGGGGTTGTCTAATTTAAAGGAAAGGAGGACTAGGAGTTTTCCAATATTTGAGGGGCTGCCACAAGAAAGAAGAGGGGTCAACTTATTCTCCAAAGCACCTGAAGGCAAGACAAGAAGCGATGGATGGAAACTAACCAAGGGGAAGAAGCAAACCTAGACTTAGAATAACTTTATTGTCGCTTTAAATCAGGGGTCTCAAACTCAATTTACCTGGGGGCCGCTGGAGGCAGAGTCTGGGTGAGGCTGGGCCGCATAAGGGATTCCACAAAAAACGTTGTTTAAAAAAATATCCTCAAATGTCATCAACAGTTAATGATTTCTCCAATACATGAAGTGTCCTGAACACACGAACGGAACATTGAATGAAGGTCATGAACGGTTCCTCAGAACATGGCTTCTCCAGCTTACTCCTTGCTGCCAGAGACTTGACGACGCTTCCTCTCACGTATCTGAGCCACATTTGGCTTGAGAGAGGAGGCCCTTGAGACCCTCAGTTATGGCTTGAAGATGATCCTCAGTAAGTCTGGACCTGTACTTGGACTTGTTAAAGT